ACTCTCTTACCAGTGAACCGAACTACTGAACTAGAACTGATTGAGACCCACTCAGAGATTTAGTTTTGAGTGTTTTTAGTCTAATCAGTGAGACTATCTATCTATCTATCTATCTATCTATCTATCTATCTATCTATCTATCTATCTATCTATCTATCTATCTATCTATCTATCTATCTATCTATCTATCTATCTATCTATCTATCTATCTATCTATCTATCTATCTGATAAAGGAAGTTTATCCTAGATATAGGAATACTTTTAGAAAGAAAAATGAATGGTTCGCGTTACTTGACTGTAACCCTGTTCCCTGAAAAAGCGGAACGAGATGCTGCGCTGCTTAGCGCATTGGGAACGTCTTTAATCGTGACCTGCTGTGAAAATAGTGTGTAAACACGTCGATAGAATCGACCCGGAGGTAATATAGCCTCGGTCAGTGACATCATCGGCGCGCACCCGCGACACGAGGCTATAAATAGATGAGCCACAGGTGCATCGTCAGGATATTTTGTCTGAAAAGCAGTCCTGGGACATCATTAGCACGGCAATGCAGCGCAGCATCTCGTTCCGGTTTTTCAGGGAACAGGGTTACAGTCAAGTAACCCGAACCGTTCCCTTTCAAAAGCTACAATTGATGCTGCGCTGCTTAGCGCATTGGGAGCGAGAATGCCCACGCCGCCGTGCTTGAAGGTGTCTGGACTCCCTACGGTTGTGTAGGTGTGCTCACAAGAACGCAAGAAAGCCCTAAACATTAGCTTGTGATGTCGACTCAAGGACGTGAGAGCCCGGAGTGGCATGAACATCTAAACTATAAAATCGTATGAATGTGTGCACAGAGGACCAACCAGACCCATTGGCGAAGCTTGACCTCGTGCTTCATAGGCAAGGCGTGGCGAGCTTGGCCTCGCGCTTCATAGGCAAGAGCAATAGCATCCCTGACCCAATGTGACATGGTCTGTTTGGTGGCGGCAGCACCCCTGTTGCTGCCCCCATAACAAACGAATAGTTGCTCTGACTTACGCCACTGGCTGGTGCGGTGGACGTAAGTCTGAAGAGCATGGGCTGGACACAGTCTGTGAGATCTCTCCTGCTCCGGCGTGGTGAACGGCGGAGGGCAGAAGGCCTCAAGAGTGACCGGATGTACAGCCGAGAAAGGTACCTTAGGCAGGTAATCAGGATGAGGATGCAAAATCACTTTCACCATTCCTGGGGCGAAGTCTAAGCAGGATGGCGATATTGACAGAGCCTGCATGCCCCCGATTTTTTTTTTAGAGAGGTTATAGCAATTAGAAAAAAAAAACATCTTTAAGGTCAGAAGTTTGACCTCTGTCGTCTGGCCCCGCGAATTAAGCAAGGGAGCAGAGGATGTCTCCCGAGTGGCACCGCGTCAACCAAGGCCAACCCAAGCCGAAAGAGCGGCCACATAAACCTTGAGAGTGGGGGGCATGTGCCTGTTGATAACTTTTCCTGCAGGAAATCCAGAACTGAAGCAATCTGGCAGTTTACCGGATCTGCATTATGTACAACACACCACCTTTCAAAGACATCCCATTTGTTGGCATAACTCTTTCTAGTGGAGGAAGCCCTAGGACTTAGAATGGTCTCAATAACGTCAGGCGAAAGCCCAGTGTCCCTCAGTTTGTACCCATCAGGGGCCAAACATGAAGGTTCCACAGGTCGGGCCTGGGATGGAATATCGTGCCCTCCGCCTGGTACAGAAGGTCCCTCCTCTTCGGAATCGCCCAAGGCGAGCCGTCGAGGAGAGATTATCTCAGAAAACCATACTCTGTTCGGCCAATGCGGCACTATCATTAAGAAGCAAGACCCTTGCTGGCAAACTCTGGCTAGAACTCCCGGGAGCAGAGCCACTGGAAGAAACGCATACAGGCGCATTTTGGGCCTTATGTGCGCCATATCATCCAGACCCAGGGGGCCTGGGTGAATCAGAGAGAAGTAGAGGGGACATTGCGCTGTCTGCTGGGAGGCGAAGAGGTCCACTTCCGCTTTGTAAAATCTGGTCCAGATCTGTTTTACTACATTTGGGTGGAGTTTCCATTCACCCGTGTGTAATTTCTGTCTGGACAGTAAATCTGCTCCCACATTCAGATGCCCTGGAATGTACACTGCCCTGAGTGACAGGAACTTCTCCTGGGCCCAGAGAAAATCTGCCTCGCTATTCTTTTCAGATTGCGTGAATGCAGACCTCCCTGATGATTATGTAAGAGACTGCCGCTGTGTAGTCCCTCTGCACTAGGACAGCCTCTCAACTGAGGGAGAAAGTATTTCGCGGCCAGAAATACATATTCCATCAACCTGAGACAATTGATTTGCCAGTCAAGATGATGCCTCCCCAGATCCCCTGGGCTGGACGACCAGGGGATCTCCCTGTCGGGCTACCCAGCCCGACAGGGAGGCGTCTGTCGTTAGCATTCTGCGACGGCAAGACGCACCAAGAGTGGGACCCAAGGTGAGGAACCGGGGTCTGAACCACGTAGAAAG